CCCCAAAACCCCAAAACCCCAAAACCCCATCTTAATCTTATTTTGCTGATTTCGTTTTCTTAAACTTTAAATCTCCTATAAAATATGTTTGCTAACTATTATTTGAGTTGTTACTCACACAAGCATCTCAACCATATTTCACTAAGTTAATTTGACCATAAAATATTACTTTAAGGAGGTAAAGGCTTTAGCTTCTATTAGCATTTACAAAGGTAAGATATGAAGTTCAAGAAGGAAGCATCGTTTAGATTACGTGGATAATCATTTTATTAATACCGAAAATAGATGATGTGGGCAAAGCTGGTCAGTACGATTTAAATCTTGAAGTTTCTAGTTTGTAGATAAATATGCCACGAACTTTCGGAAGTCTCTCTATGTCTGGATTATTTAAAGTTTAGATATAATCAAACATGGTCCGATGCCTTCTGAGAATCTCCCTTTGGTAGCATATCTCACTACAACCATGCTATTCTAAAGTTTAGGAAAGTCCAGAAAGTATTTCCCTCTTAGTCTGAAAAAAATACTTAATAAAAAGTTGCATAAAGGCCTAGAGGTATAATTCAATGAATCTATACTCAAATGCGCACACTAAAGTGCAAAGCCCCTCTGCAGCATAACCTAAGAACATATCGCTTAAAGCCTAAGCCTATTTCTTAACCCAACTTCTTGCTCACTCTTCAGTATTTCCCACTGAAGAATCAGGAGATACTAGTTTGGCAGTAGGAACGAATATCTAGACCCTAAGATTGGAATGCAGGGAAATACTACATAAAGCATATTTCAAAGAGTCTAGTTATCATAGTATAGTGCAATTTCTTGAACATTATCGCATTTATATAGGAAAGTTCTGTTACACAAATCTATAAATTATTGATCAGTTCAGTGGGAGGGAGCACTTTCAGATTGAATAGTTTCGTTCTCAGTTGAGGCTATAGTTACTTCATCAGTTTGGATCAGTTGCAAATGCTCATCTTCTTGAGTATCATTCTTGTCTTTTAAATTTTGTTCTAAAATACAGATGATTTCTTTCTGTTGATTTATCTTCGCAGAGTACATTTCAGAAAGAGTCTTGAAGTTGTCAGAGAATCTTGACTCTGGGTTATTCTGGAAGTCAGACTCTTTCTGAATGATCTTCTCTAAAGCGATGTTAATCTTATTTTGAATATTGAGAGAGTGATACTTTGTCTCTTCTTTTTTATGATCATGTCATAGTTTATCAGTGATTTCTTCGAGATTCTCATCATCAGCTATAAAATGGATTTGACTCTCCTCATGCTTCTTCTTTCAACTCTCATATTCCGCAGCCATTATTTTATATGCCATGCGATTTACTCTTAATTTCTTTATAGGTGCTCAAAGTCTATTTTTCTTACTAATAATCTGTTCTTGGAGCAGATAATTGGTCTCTTGCAGTTGCTCAAGTTTATTTTTCTTAAATGTATCAATCTCATCAAGCTCTTTCTTAACCTTTTCAAGATTTTTTTCTATTCCCCTGTACCCAGAAATTCCCTTGCTTTCTTCAAGTTTCCTCCTCTTCTCCTCATCTCTTTCAATCTTGGCTTCTAGACCTTCCTTGGTCTTAGTCAATACATCTTTTTCTGAAGTGATGTCTGCAAGTTTCTTCTTCATAGCATCATATCTGAGTTTCTTTTCCTTTAATTTTTTTGTTCATTTCTCATAAAGCTCCTGTCTTCTGGGTCCTAACTGTCTAAGCTGCAAAGAAGGCCCTTTTTCAGCCTGCATAGTGGCTTCAAATTGGTCTTTTGTGCTTGTTAAATGTGCGAGCTCAGCAATCTGGTTCTTCTTGGTCAACTGGGCGAGTTGGAATTTATTTGAGAAGGTCATTGAAGGGGGAATTAGTGGGAATTTTGAGGTTTAAGGCCTCGCATTCGGCGGTTAGGGTAGCTCAGTCTTGCTCTAGGAGGAGGATTTGGTCTTCTGTGATGGGTGTTTCAAGGGATTTTGTGAGGAGAGAGCAGCGGGTGGATTTTTCTTCGTATTCTGGCTCTAGAATGTTGTAATAACCCTCCCTATTCTCCTGAACATCAGCAATAAGAGTAGTAGAGAAGAGGTCATCTGCAGTCTGAGGGCCTAAAATCTCCTGGGAAACACTGAGAAGTTGGCTTCGGGAGTGGTGCTTGTCTTGGATGGTGTTTTGAAGGAGCTGAGATTGTTCAGCTGTCATTAAGTCGATTTTTGACTGGGATAGTTGCTCTTTTGATAAAAGTTTTATGGCTTCGAGAAGGACGATGAAGTCAGGATCGTTTTTGGTGTCTTTTAGAATCTTTAGTTTTGATGATAGCTCTTGCTTTTGGAGTTCTAATTCTGTTATTTGTTTGTTCATTGCATCTTGTTGCTTATCTTTTGATTCGAGTGTTTTCAAATGATCTCCTGTGATATTCAACTTTTCTTGAAGGCTTTTGTAAGTATTAATTTCTTGCCTAATTTGTTCATCCATGAGAAATTCCTCAGGAATAGGGATAGAAGATAAGAAAGCAGATCTATCCCGTTGTTCCTTTGAATTTTCAAATATCTGGAGAATTCAGCTTAATATTTTAAGAATTGTTTCCTTATTATTACAGCTGAGGCCAAATCTAAGAGATGAGTCTGTTTCACAAGGAACTCCAAGCATGGTCAAAAATTTACAGATCCTATTAGTAGTATCTTCTCTAGTCTCAGATCCTATATCAATCTCCTTTTGTGTATCATCAAACTCTCCAAGGACTCTATTGAGCAACTTCAATAGTTCAAACCTATATTCTCTTAGACCCACCAAGTAACTTACGGTTGCTTTACGTCTAAGTCTACTATGGATAAATCTCAATCAAAAGGTGGCTTGTTCAATGTTTCAACCATATATCTAATGTCTATACTCTCTATTCCAAATTTAACAAATTACGTTTACTTAATTCATGACCTAGCTTAAAATCTTCTCTGGGATCCTGTAGGATAATTCCCTGGTCGATACTAGCTTCTGTATGGATGTAGCCCATAACTTTTAAGAGGCTCCCTGTACTTTCCATTTTATTTCCAACTTAAATAAATTCAACTAGCAAACAGAGAATAGGGGTTTTGGGGTTTTGGGGTTTTGGGGTTTTGGGG